ACTGCTTTTGAAAAAAGTGTATGTGGCTCCACCAAGGGTTGCATGCCTAGTGTTTCTCAGAACCAAAATGAATTACACAGTCCAGTTGTGCTGTAAACTAGAAATCTCTGGCTATCTGCATGCTTGATCTGGACCCTGGAACAAATTCATATAGCCCAGCAAAAACTTGGCTATATAATGCAATCCAGCTCCTGCAAAAAAAAGCATTCAGATGATGTCTCCTCTTATCTGCCAAGAAATTTCATAACCCTGACTTAATCATACAGAGGTGTACTGCAGGTTGCCTTACAGTGGTGATCCAACAGCTCCACTGATGACAGTCACAGTATTGCAGGGTACTTTCAGGGCCATTTTCCTGCCTTGACCTCCTAATTCTTCTGCTTCATTCACTCCCATTGTCAATGAGACACAATCTTTGTGTAACCACCCCTGAGCCTAGTGGATACCTAGGTTATTATTGAGCAATAATGTTGTCTGTATTGTAGCACCATGTGTTCAAGGTTCCATGTATTCTCACATAATGACGTGTATTTACCATTGCATACTGAACAGCAAGTTGCTTGATAATTGAAAGGGAGATGTTCCTTGCAGGAAAAAACAGCTGTCAGGAGATGAGAGGTCAAGGTCTGCGTATCAGTGCTTGGTGGGCACTGACAGAAAATACCTTCTGGCTGTCAGCTTAAGACAATGCTGTTTTATTGCCTGTAATGAAAGAAAGGATCCTAGCCCTATTTCCTGCGCTGTTACCTTACATCTCTATGACTTTCAAACCGAACGGTGCCATTAGCTGAATCTGGAACATTCTTCTTTGGATTCAGTTAAACCATCTCGAGTAGGTACAATGTTTACTTCTGGAACATAAAGGCCTCTCTGAAGACCGACCTTTGGATCGTAGGTTGATAAAGCAGCAGGAGTCTTCAATTCCTACAGCCCTAACCCTGGCTTGGGTTGTGCACGCATAGGACTAAATTCATGTCCAGATTTGTGTTCCATGCAGCAGTGTATCTGCGCACTGAATTGTAGGCTTATGTTCACAAACTCTTATTGAGGGCTGTTTGCTTAATAATTCATATACAGAATCTTGCAGAAGAAAGCCCAGGCTCTGAGGCGAGCTTCTAGACTATGCCAGAATATAATATCTAACAGTAAAAAAACCTGTAGACTTCGTTACTTCTGTATCTCATTAACATGCTACTTTGTAGATTTCCAAATGTTACATACAAACTATACTTAAAAGAACTTTAGTTGTAGAAATAAGCACAGGAGACATCAATTTCAGATGTAAGGTTATTTCTACATGCTGAATTCTGCCTTTTGCATGTCTGGCTAATATATGGACATTTGTAGAATCATAAAATTAACCCTCTCCCCCACCACTGCAAACTAGCCAAGCTGGTAACTGCTGTAATAGCATGATTGCAGGAGCAAAGAAGATCAATTATGCAAAATGATCTGAAAAAGACTCCACGTATGTTTTCCGCTCCACATATGTGTTCCCTGGGATGATACTGAAGCTTTAATGCTTAACAGGAGAGCATTTTCTCCATGTGCAGACAGCTGTGACTGGATAAAGGACTCTGGGCATTAACATGGCAGGTCATTGATTAATATGCATGGTCATCTCCAAATTGATTATTGTAAATTCAGGGCCGTATAAAAAGGCCCAGAGGAAAAATCAACATATGCTGCTGTGTTGAAAATTATTAATGCTAACTGTATATCACCAGTAGCTGTGTTCGGCATGCAATACTTTCAGCTAAAAATCAATGCCGAGGCCTTTAATAAATAAAGTAGTCTTTATTGGCATGAATAAGACTATAAAGTAAATTATTTTAGGATGGTTTCTCTGGAACGGCAAAGAGCAGAAATGCATCTTTACCCTTGCTAGGTGTAATATAAGAAGAAATGATAGTCACAGTATTTTTTCACACAGAGGCTATGTATACTGAACACCCTTAAAATGAATTCATTTACAGAAAACAGGTGCTGCAGGAAAGGTTTTGCTGCAAACTCACCAACAAAAAACAAAAAAAAAAAAAAAAGAAAAAAGGAAAAGTAATATCTGTCTACAGCATGGCGTAATATTGCAAAATTCCGTTTGTTTTCTTCCAGGTTCTCATGGCAGGCTTGCTACGATGTGACCACAACAAACGGCCAGAGGCTGTTGGTTTTTTCCATCTTCTCGGTGAGAAATGGTTACCAAAGATTCCCTTGGACTATTTAAAAAAAACCCAACCAACCAAACAACACAACAAAGAGCAGAAACCCCACGCTGTTGGATGCCATCTGCTCCCCCTCCTCAGCCGTTTATTCCATTCCCCCTGCCCAGCCCTGGACAGATGGTGTCCATCCCCTCCCAGCCCTCTCGAGGGACAGGGGACCCCACGCTCGCTTCCGTGCGAGGGGTGAGAAATGGAGGTGTTGGAAGCTGGGGCGACCTGAGAGGAGGCTCC